GTAAAAATCCATACATATTTATGGGGTAAGATGTGATATTTTGGCACATGTATACAATATCTAATGATCAAATCTGGTAATTCATATATCAGCCGCTCCAAACATTGATCATTTCTTTGTGTTGGGAACACTCAAAAATCTAGTTTTTTAGCTGTTTAAAAAATACAATAAAGTTGTTGTTAATTATGATAACTCTATAGCTGTATAGAGCACTACAACTTATTTTTTCTATCTAGTTGTGCTTTTGTCTCCATTAACCAAGCTTTGGCAATCCCTTCCTCCTAAAATAAATTTTTAAAGCAAAACAATCAATAACATAAAATTTGCATGAAGAAGATTCCATGATGTTAGAGTTTTAAAAAATGTTATCAAGTATGATCATGTTCATTTTTTTATATAGAAAGGTGCTTTTTTTAAAGAGATGCAGGCTGAAGAATGTAGAAGTGAAATGTCATGATTCTTATATCCCACTTTCAAGTTTTAAATTCAGGAAAGCAGACAGAGATTAGGTATCTACATAAAAAAACCTGTGATAATGAGAATGCATGCTGAATCCGGGTATATGTGCTCATCATATTATTTCAACTTTAGTATATGTTTGAAAATTTTCATAATAAAATATCAAAGAGAAAATCTCTTTCAGCATTTGACCATCCAACAGCTATTGGGCTTCTGGGTAAGAACTGAGCCCAACACGCTTTTGCTATTCTGTCTCCTACCAGGGCTTTGTCATTTCTTTTCCCTTGGAAAGAATGCAAGACAATTTATATGCCAGTATCTGCCTGTTTCACTCATACCTGAAAAGTAATTCTTTCTTTATTCAGTTATAACATTGGACAAAAGAAAAAAAATGAGACCAGGGGAGAGAAGTTTCCACTGTCTCTGAGACCTTCCCTAAGTGTGAATGATGAAGAACTGACTTTATTTCTTAGATCTGGATATAAACATGCAATCTTTCTGCCTGCTGCCTCCGTGACCTCTCCGTGCCCAGCACAAGCTTATGCTAACCCAAGAGTGTGACAGTTTTATTCCAACTCAGCAGTTTGAGAGCTTCCTGTGAGGGTATTCTATCAATGATTCCATCTTTCCACTACCCAGGAAGGTCCTTCTCCACTCCCACCTCTTCATTCCTGAAATAAAAGCCATCGAATAGTTCAATCGGCTTCATTAGTTGGCTAGTGTCAAGGACTATTATAATCTCTGCTGTGATTTGATGATATCTCTTCACTTTGTTATTTTTTAGCTCCTAATTGCACCGTATACTTTTGACATCGCTATTGGACTGATGTTAATGTCAAGTTGTTCTGATTCATGTGCTTCATTGAAATCTGGTACTGAGGCAGCTGAAATAGGAATTGGTTGAGGAGTTTTTGAAGTGCTTTAGCTACAAGCCTTTCTTTTTGACTTCTGCAGCACCTAGAAGTAGTTTTATTTTTGTGAAAAGAATAAAGCATATGAGTTTGAAATTGTACATGAGGTTAAAAGTGCATCAACTTATGTTCAAATCAGAAAGGGTAGATATTAATAATAAATACTATGTAAATTTTTGGAAAAATTAAATATTAAAGAAAACTTTATAAAAGCAATACATGTTTATGGCCAGAAAACACACACATACACATCCCCTGAATCAAAAATACAAAAGATCAAAGAAGAAAATAAAAATTAACCACAAACGTCCTCCCATTCATTATGTTTTTGCTGTACAATTTTAGAGAGGTTTTCCTTGTGTGAAAATGTCTGCTTAATCACTTCTATTAAAAAATGCAGTGAGACAATGAACATTTGATTTAGATGTGTTTTATATATATTATATGCCACAGACTTCTTTTCATGCCAATATAGGTGTTTATAATTTTTACTGTTTTGTTATATTTTATTCTTCAGTAATGAAACAATTTAATTTGTATGAACATTTATATCATTTGAAAATTTTTCCTTAATGGTATCATGTGTCTGAAATCCCCCTGCTCCCCACCCAAACCAACCATACAGACAGCCTGAAGCCCATTGCCTACCAAAATGATTTCTATGACAAATCCTTCCACATGTAAATGTGGGAAATGCTAATAACAAAGTAAAGCAGTCTTAATTACTCATGGGATTTTTTGGGGTTCTTAATACTGTAATAATCCCTGTGAGTCAACAAGAGGGAGATATGGCAATCATCATTTCCCAAATCTGTTTCCTCACAGAGCATGTCAAGGACTTAGAAATCATATTCTGATCCTATGGCATCCCTGTTTATATTTCTTTCTATTTGGGTGTCCTGATGCCAACTCAAGTTCAAACTTTTTTCTAATAGATTTATTAATTTTTTAAATTACTAAATAATGAAAAAAGTCCACTTCAGTTAAAGATGCATTTATTGGGCATCTACTTGGTGCCAAGTCTTGTGTAAGGTAGTGGAGATAAACATTTTTCATAAGAACTAAATCCATATAATAGAGAAGCTCCTAGTGGAGCCTAATGATTCATTAAGAACTTTAGTGGATGGTGTGGTTTGTATCTGTGTCCCCACCTATATCTCACAGTAAAATGTAATCCCCGGTGCTGGAGGTGGGGCCTGGTGGGAGGTGATTGGATCATGGGATGGTTTCTCATGAATGGTGTAGCACGATCCCCCAGTGCTGTTCTTGTGAGAGAGTTCTCACGAGATCTGGTTGTTTAAAAGTGCAAAGCACCTTTCTACACTCTCTTTCTCTGCTCCCAGCCATGTGAAGTTTCGGCTCCCTTTCACCTTCCGTCATCTTCTAAGTTTCCTGAGGCCTCCCCAGAAGTCGAGCAGATACCAGAATAATACTTCCTGTATAACCTGCAAAACCGTGAGCCAATTAAACCTCTTTCCTTTATAAATTACCCAATTCCAGGTATTTATTTTTAGCAATACAAGAACAGACTAATACAATGGATATTCAGTGTTTTGATGTTCCAGGTCCAGCCAGTCAGAGAGTCATAGTCGCTTACACACAAAGACTCCAAGTCAATCAGATGTAACTGGGGCTGTTGCTGTCACTGCAGAGAAAGAGCCACTATTTCTTCTGTATTTGAACCTGGGAGAAGCTGACTAAGGGGCTGTTGACAGTGATTGTGTTCCAATCCAAAGACTAAGGGTCAAGTCAAATTGACAAGAGCTGAACCAAAAGACAGAGGATGGATCCTGATGAGTTCAATCCAACTGGTTTGGATTCATGTGGAATTCATTCACATGAGCCAGTTTTTGTTGGTTTTTCTGTGACTTGTATCCAAGAGGGTCCTCGCTAATATAACACTGTTTCTTTGCTTGCTAAAAATCATGCAACATATGAAACTTTGTTGTCTGAGGATGAATATAATTAGCTATAAAGTCAATTCCTTTTTGATGATTTAGAAAAATGTAGTGTGAAGCCTAAAAGGTTTTTTTTAACTAATCTTTGATCTCAGTTTGTTTTCTTACAATTGACCTATTTTTTTTTCCATGAAAGTGGAAGCACAATGAATTATGATTTAAGATTTTGTTTAGGTTTGATTTTAGTTGACAAAAGCTTTACTGTGTATAACCATCTTGGTAAATGACCAAATAACCTAGATGAGTTTAAGTAATATGTACTTGTTTCTGTCAAATTGATAAAAATATTGTTACATGATCCCACATAAGCCAGGTTTCACCAAAGCCTGAAGGAGTCACTTGAAAAATGGTTTACACAAGAGAAGTTTCTGATTCTGAGCTTCTCAAGTATTCTACATTAAACTAGAGACCCTCAATAACCCTCACTTGCCAGCATTTTTATTAACCATTTATTCTATGAATCCCATTTTGATGGTCCTTCTGAATGAGAACCCACTTCCCCCTGCCAACTCTGCCAAATTTCCACCTGAGTAGTTACTGTATTCTTAATCTCATCTGTGGTGTGTTTTTCTGTCTCTCAAGTTCTAACTCAGTATCTCTAGCACCAGCATACCATTTGTCCGTTGAACCCTGGACTGGTCTTTTGCAGGCGGATTGGTCTAGAAATTTTTCAATAATACATAATGATAAGTTGTGCTATTTGTCATCTCAGATGAAACCGCCCTGCAAGTTTTAATTGTATTATTCAGATAACTAGAATAAATATATAATTATATGATCTAAGTCTATAATGCTAGCTGGATAGGTCACAGGATAGCATATTTCTAGATATGACAAACAGGTAGGACTGCATTTCCTGGTAACTACCAATGACTTCTCCTGGAATGTGCCAGGAGAGGGTCTCAATGCAAAGTATATTTTTCTGAGACAGAGTCTCACTTTGTGACCCAGGCTGGAGTCCAGTGGTGTGGTCACAGCTCCCTAGCCTTGACCTCCTTGTCTCAGAGGTCCTCCTGCCTCTACCTCTCGAGTAGCTGGGGCTACAGGCACTCACCATCATGTCTAGCTAATTTTTTTTATTTTTTTATTTTTTGTAGAGACAGGGTTTTGCTATGTTGCCCAGGCTGGTCTTGAACCCCTGGACTCAAACAATCTGCCCACTTCAGCCTGTCAAAGTGCTAGAATTCTAAGCATGAGCCACCATACCCAGTGCAGAGTCGGTTTTTCATTATACTTGGTGGGCTATTCCTCAAAGGCAGGATTTCCCAGGGTACACTGTATGTAATATTAACTTTTGGTCTGGCCAAGAGTGAAAGAGAACAATAATACCTATAAAATAGAGGACAAAGCATAATGTGTATAAGGAAGTACAAAAAGAGGGACTCAGGAGCCACTTAAGAAATTTTAACAATAACTTTTTTTCTTTGAGAAATTTGACAATATACAAATTTAGTCTTGGCTTTATTATTCCTTGAAAGTTGTATTTTAGGACAGTGTTAGACACAGCATAATTTCAAGAACAGAGATTGTAGAAACACAATTCTTATCAACATTAGTAGGCTAACTTTTCCAACAATGTTGTCCCTATTTCCATTTTATAAACATAAAAAGTTTGTCCTTGTATAAGCAGTCTGAAATTTTTTTAAAAAATTGAGTACAAATACATTTCATAAGTGTGATACTGGTCTGTTTTGTTTTGAAAAACAGATATTAAAGTAATATTACACATTATAACATTACACTTTAATTTGCTCATCTGCAATTTCTGAGACATTATTGAAAATTAATAGGCTGACAAAAAGCAGAATCAATACACAACACACACAGCCAGGAACAAATCTGAATGAATACTGATCAATCCAATCAATATGTGGTAAACAGAAATTAAATTAGTAAAATGCCTTATTGAGCTGGTTTATGTAAGTTGGATACGGTTATTTGGAATTCATCCCTATCTGTTTTTCTTACAAATCATGAGCTTATTTTTAGTGTCTGTCCTTAGGCCACTGAAGAGATGGAAGTGGCCACGTGGATCACGAAGCATGCATTGTATGTATGCATGGGCAAGCGATTAGGAAAAACTATCTCATTTCAGAAGGAAGGCACGTCAAGTGCTTGTCATGCTTCATGAGACATTGCACCTAGAATGGTAGAAGATGCTGGTATTAGAATTTCATTGGAATAATTTCAAGTCACATGCTTGATTGGCTCTAATTCAATGAGTCTGATACATCATTTAGTTTCCTTGGACTTGAGATAAATGACTTACGGTGTATCGGAAGGTTTTGGTAATGGTTGTGCTTCCAAATGTAAATAACACTGCATGGAAACTTTTCCTGAAGTTTGATTTTATACCGCTTCCTTTCTAAGCATTAACTAGAGCTCTCTTACCCTTATGCTTAAAGCCTTCTTCTTCTGGGTTATGGATGATAAGACATATTCCAATGGGAGGTCTGCTAGCTTTTGATCAGTCACTGAGAAAACTGGCATGTTTTAGTAGAAGGAGCATAGATTTTCTTTCTCTTTGACTTAACTCTGGCTGGGTCCCTCTCAGTCCTCTTTCTGACGAGGCTCTAATCTTGGGCTCTGCCCTTAACCCAGTTATTACAGTTTTAGCAAGACTCCTGCTGAGTCAGTTTAGCAACAATCCTCCACCTTCAGTCTGATCACCCTTGATATCGAATCACCCTGGCCTACCTTCAGCAAAAATCCCGTGTGGTCAGTTTAGCAATTGCCCTTCCTCTTAATAATTTCCCATCCTCTGATACCCTATCCTGCTCCTTGGCTATAAATCCCTACTTTTCCTTATGGTTTTTGGACCTGAGCCCAATCTCTCTCTCCTACTATAATACAAAACCCCATTGTGGTAGTCCTTCTTGGATAAAGTCTTTCTTACCATCTGTAATAAGTGTCACCAATAATGTTTCCTTTAACAAAAACAAGGCCTATTTCCTTGGGGAGGCTGTCAGCTTCTGATTAGTTGCTGAGAAAATCAGTGTGTTTTAGTAGAAAGAACATAAAGTGTGTGGTTGTAAGAACTGAATGTACAAAATTTTCAAGTAGGCAAGTCACTTAACTAGAGCTTCAGTTTTCTTGTGGGTAAATTTGGGCTGATGATAACATATTTCCTGGTTTTGTAAGGATTAAAGTAAGTCATGCATATAAAATTTCTTTGTAAACTGGGAAGTAAGTCATACATTTTTGTTACTGTTAGTTAAAGCACTTTAATTTGCTTATCACTCATAGACATTTACATATCACATACTTCAAGATAAAATAAGTTGCTTAAAGTCAACTAATGCATACCCAAAATAAATTTAAATGTAACCCTCAATATTTCAAATACTTGAACATATTATTGAATTATATGTTATAGAAGCAAGAAAAAGAATCAACATGTTGGTGAAATGTGAGATGCAGGGTTAGAGTTTCTTTTTATTTTGAGAAGTGGTCTCATTGCCGCCCAGGCTGGAGTGCAGTGGTCCAATCTCAGCTCACTGCAAACTCTGCCTCCTGGGTTCAAGCAATTCTCTTGTCTCAGCCTCCTGAGCAGCTGGGATTATAGGCACACGCCACAATGCCTGGCTAATTTTTGTATTTTTAGTAGAGACAAAGTTTCACCATATTGATAAGGCTGGTCTCGAGCTCCTGACCTGAGGTGATCCACCTGCCTTGTCCTTTCAAAGTGCTGGGATTACAGGCGTGAGCCACTGTGCCTGGCCTAGAGTTCCTTTCTACATCTTAACAAAAGAGTTGCTAAATACAGGAAGGCCCAAGGAGAGGAGTTATCTCACTGTGAGCACCTTTTCTGGAAAAGGCACAAAGTGCTCATAATTTATATAGTTTTATAAAAGTATAATGATTTAAAACTTTGCCATAGTTGACAAACAGCCATATTTATAGACCACTCCTCTGGCATTAATCCTATTTCTTTTTCCTCCCATTGCAAAAGAAGATATTTAGTGGTTTTTAAGAGGTTCTCCTGGTTGAAATCTTCTGTACAATACATGCTTAATGAGCTGATTAACAACTGTTACTGAGAATTAATGAATCAAATCACAGTGGTAGTCACCATATTGTAAATCACTGTGTTGCATTAGGTTATGATAGAGTCATACATTTTACAGTGATGACTCTTTCATACGATGAAGGCATCTGAACAGATTGTATCTTAGGTCTCATTGAAAGATTGTGATAATGTTTAAGATACAGAAAAGCTTTTTGGAATTCCCTAAGCAAGAAGCAACAAAAGATTCTATTAGTAGAATATTATTCCATTAAGCACATAGAGCATTTTGATTTTAAGTAATTATTCAGAGTGCTTTTGAAATCTATGTGAGTTTTATATATTTGTCATAATCCAAACATATAGAAATCTTGCCATCTAATTAGACATCTGCTTTAACATGATTTGCAGCAGAATGGCAAATAAAATGTAAATGGCCACTGCAAGAGGTTTTTAGTTTTCAGAATTTGCTGTACTGTCAGATAGCTTTCAGTTCAGAATATTTTAAAAAATCAATTTTTGCATTTATGATAGTTCTTGAACTTTTAGTCTTGAATTTTGAATTCTGTTAGAGAGCGCTCTAATAATGATGAGATATCTCAATAAAGCTGTTATAAAAATAATGAATTGATGATTGCGATTCTGTTATATATGCAGCAAATAATGTGTCGCCATGTGCCAGTATTGAAATTATAGGTATAACTAATTGATCTGGTGTAGTAGATGTTTTGAATTTATAGTTAAAAAAAGAATTACTCATTAGCCTTACTAAGTCACAACATTTTTCTTTTGCTGTATAGCTTCATGGTTCAAGCATTTAGGAAGGTAATTCAAAATGATTTATTGCTTTCATATGGGAAAAATGGCTGATCGAATTAAAATATTTTTCCTTAATTAATGTACTCAAAGCAGGTATTCAGGTTAAATGGTGTTATATAAAGGAATTTTATCAAATCCAGACTATTTTAAGCAATTTTAACACTTATAATTTATTCTAATAAACAAATATGATCATATAATAAAAACTGCATGGAATGCTGGTTCTCAACTTGAATTTACTGGGAAAGACCCAAGTACAAAAAAGTTTTCCAATGAAGGTCAATTCATTTTAGTGGCTAAAAAGTCTTATCAGCACAGGTTTTTAAACTATACCTTTTATGTAGCTACAGATATTACTTCTAGGAACATGTTCAATATTATTTGATTTAATTTATTGTGACTATGTGTCCATTTTTCTCCATCTTTATTCAACACAAATTAACCTATCCACTGCCTTCTAATCGCACTATGGATTATCTTTTCCAGGGAGCAGAGTGTAGAAGATGGGTAGAGGTTATGGAGCCACATTACCTCAAGTCAAAGGCCAGTTCTACCATTTACTACCTGTGTGACCCAGGGCAAGTTACTGAATTTCTCTATGCCTTAGTTTCTTCACCTACAAAGAATTAGACTTTATCTCAATGAGACTCATGCAGAGAAAATGAGCCAATGTAGATTTACTGCTCCAACACACTCAATGTTAAATAAGTGCTCAATAAATGCTAGTTGTAACAAAGGAATGAGAAGCTGGTATATGGCAATATTATGCCTACTACATTGTTTCTAATTCTTACAAGAATAATTTTCAGAAAGAGTAATGATTTGTTCACAGTTGCTCATTGTCATAGGCTCTAAAAGTCAGAGTAGGAATTCAAAGCAAGGTGAGTTCAAAGCTTCTTCACTTTCCTCTGGTTGTTCTGAACTCTGTCGGCATATTAGAATAATCTGGAGAGATTTTAAATGTAACTGATGCAAACTTATGGTTTCAGCTTCAACAAGGAAAGAACTTGGATAATACCACTCCCATCTTAACAATAGGAAAAAGCTGAATAAACCAAAAGTCAATGACTTTCTTGAGGTTATGGGGCAAACCACCACCCTGAAATCTGGAGAGACAGGCAAATCCAGGGAGTTACAGCTGAGGTCCACTTACCTGGAGCAGAAGCACTTGGAGCCATAAACTGGCAGGAATGCTGCTATGATTTGAATGCGTCCCCCAGAATTTATGTGTTGAAAACTCACTATCCAATGCCAGTGTTAAGAGGTGGGACCTTTAAAAGGTGATTAAATCATGAAGGCTCTGCCCTCAAGAATGAATTAATGTCAATATTTTGGGAATGGGTTCATTATCATGAGAGTGGGTTTATTATAAAAGTGAGTTCGGCCCTCTCTTGTCTTTCCATCTTGTACATTCTCTTGCCCGTATGCCTTCCACCATGGAATAATGCAGCAAGAAGGCCCCCACAAGATGTGGACCCCCTTGACCTTGAACTTCCCAGGCTCCAGAAGTGTAAGAAATACATCTGTTTCTTGTAAGTTACCCTGACCTAGGTGTTCTATTATAGTAGCAGAAATGGACTGAGACAAATGATTCAATAGCAATTTTGATGGACTGATGGTGTGAGTGAGACACTCCTGAGGCTGCAGTCCTGGGTAAATGTACTTTCACAAATTCTTCACAAGCTTCACCAGGTGAAGAGCAGAGAAAGATTTCCTCCTTGTTCTTGCCAAGGGAGGGAAGAGTAATCATCCTGAAATGCACCAGGGCATTCTCTGTAACAAAGACCTGCTGGAGAAGGGGATTATCAGAGCCTTACCCTGCTTGGAGGGAGAGGATTTTTTCTACTCCAGCCCCATTTAGCCTTCCTATCTTATCTAAAAGAGATGGAGGGTGTGGAGAACACTTGTGAAGGTCACAGCCCAGGGAAACAGGCCCACTAAAAGATTGAATCTTAATCAGAAGATTATAGAGCACCTGACTTTCCCCACCACATCAGTAGAACAGTAATATAATCACAGTGGATTATGGCTGAAACTGGTGAAACGTGCAGATGCTCTCTGAAGAGGCATACTTAGGTTAGCCCAAAGTCAACAGATTAGACAAAAACAAGGACTTCTAATTTGAAGCCATGGCACCTATAACTACAGCAAACAACACAGCCCCAGCTCCTAGCCAGTTAACATACAGTCTCACACTAAAGGCCTGTTTACTACCATTTCTATTACTCAATAAATTGTTTATGGTTTTCAAAAGTAGTTACAAGGAAGCTAAAAGGCTGAAAAGATAAGGCAAATATCAGAGCCAAACTCAGATATTACACAGATATTTGAATTATCAGACAGGGAATTAAAAATAACTATAATTAATATGAGCTCTAATGGAAAAAAAAAGCATGCAAGAACAGATAGATAATATCTGTTTAGAGAGATGGAAACCACAAAAAATAATCAAAATGAAATTCTGGGGTGTGGGGGTGGAAAACTAACAGAAAGAAAGAATGCACTTAATGGACATATGAAAAGACTGTGAATAGCCCAGTAAAAGAATCAGTGAGCTTGATGACAGACCGTAAGGTACATGGATGTGCTTTGGTCAAGGATTCAGCTGAGGTGGTTATCCACGCCTGCATGACTCAGCAAGTTTAGAGTGCAGGCATGTAACTCTGCCTGTTATCACAGCCATGTAGCCATAATGTGGGAATGCCATCCCTTGGCTTGGAACCACTGTTGTCTGTAAAATGTATAACTTTCACATGTCTTGCTGACGCTGTTCATGGGGCTTGACTCTTGGGGCTTGGGTTGGCTCGGTTCAACATGGCTTCACATGGCAGGCATGCTGGTGCCCAGAGAAAGAGAGAGAGCCAAAGCTGTCCATCTTGCAGATGGACAGGAGGGAGCCAGGATACACCTCAGCTTGCTCATGCCCAGAGAGGGAAAGAGCCAGCCATGTAGCTGCAGGGGGGCGGGGGTGGCAGGAGCCACAGAGCCAGAGCAAATAGCTGAGATAAAGGTGGACAGTGTAAGAAAAGCTAGTTTGAGATAGCTGTATAAGAGAGTTGCTGTTGAATAAAACCATATTCACCTGCCTGTGGCCCCCCAAGCCTTCTTTCTGCCCATCCACCCACTCCCCTCAGACTTCAGCATGGGCTAGACCTGGACCTCAGGATCTGACACAGACTAATGTAAATTTCCAAAAATGAAATTTAAAGAGAACAAAAGAGTAAAAAATCAAAACATATATCCAAGAACTGGAAGGCAATTTCAAAAGGTATATCAGATGCATAACTGGAATCTGGAAGAAAAACAAAGGGAAAACATATTTTTAACAATAATGGTCAAGAATTTTACAAAATTAATTATAGACACCAAACCACAGATTCAGGAAGCTAAGCAAGCACAAAGCAGGGTAAATAGCCTCCCCTAAAAAGCAAACAACTGAACAACTCCCCACCCCCAAACCTACATCTGGGTATATAATTTCAATCTGCAAACAACAAACAACAAAGATAATTTGGCCGGAAGGAAAAAAATACCTTACCTATAGCGAAACAAGGATATGAATTACAGCAGACTTCTAGTCACAAACTGTGAAAGCATGAAAAAAGTGGAGTAAAACATTCCAACTGTTGAGAGAAACAAAACGTCAATTTAGAAGTCTTTATCCAGTGGGAAAATTCTTCAAAAGTGACAGAGAAAAAGGACTTTGCTAGACAAATAAAAACTGAGACCATCCTGGCTAATACAGTGAAACTCCATCTCTACTAAAAATAACTGGGCGTGGTGGTTTGCGCCTGTAGTCCCAGATACTTGGAAAGCCGAGGCAGGAGAATCGCTTGACCTGGGAGGCGGAGGTTGCAGTGAGCCAAGATCGCCCATTGCACTCCAGTCTGGGCAACAAGAGTGAAACTCAGTCTCAAAAAAAAAAAAAAAATCCTGAGAGAATTCATGGTCAGCGGAACTGTTTAGCAAGAAATGTTAAAAGAAGTTCTTCATGAAGAGCTATAAAGAAAGGAAGAGTGTTGGAAAGGAATACATGAAGGTGAAATGATTTTTAAATTTTTTTCTTATTCCTAATTGATCTAAAAGATGATTGTTTAAAGTGATAATAGTTAACAATGTATTGGAAGATTGTAGCATAGGTATAAATGAAATGAATGACCAAAGAGTCACAAAAGATGGGAGGGAGGAATTGGGAATACTATTATAAGGTCCCTGCATTGCATACAGTGTGGTATAGTGTTGTTTGGAAGTAAACTTGGATTACTTACAAATGCATAGTGTCAACTCTATGGCACCGACTCAATAAAATCCTCAAAAGTGTAGTTGATATGCTACAGAGGAGATAAAATGGAGCCATAAAATGCCCGATTAAAATTAGAGAAAGTAAATTTAAAAATAAAAAAGAGGAAATGAACAGAAAATTATAAACACGATAGATATCAATTTATCCATATCAATAATTATTTGAAATTGAATGGTTTCACGTATCACCAAAAGACGGACATGGTTAGAGTACGTGGAAAGAATAAAAAGACCCCGCTATATTTTGTGTATAAGAAACATGTGTCTCAGACTATTTTCTTTGGGCGACCTGTCAAGCTTTTGAGAGTACTGGTCAGCTATTCTGTAGAGTGTTTGTCAATCTGAATTTGTCTGATGTTGTCATGATTAGACTGGGGCTACGGGTTTGGAAGACCAAAGAGGTAATGCTCACAGAGTGAATCGAGGGAACATTCTATCAATGTGGCTTAGTGTTGTTGATGCCAACTTGAATTTCCTGCCTGGTTGTGGCAATTTCAAGAAGCAGCTAGGGTGTAGAGAACCACCGTACAGGGTGCTGCCTTGTGGATCTTATTTCCCCAAATGATTTTGATTGTCTCAAAATTACTAGATTTTTGCCTACAGCCTCCATGGGCCTGTGGGTTTGTGAACTGGAAATTTAGCTCCACCCTTCCAGACTCTCTTCTCTGGCTGTCATGGACAGGGCTACATAGGCTGAGACCCAGAATTTATCACATGTAACTCGAAAGACATCTGTGTCAGTATGTATTTTTTCATTGGACACCTGTCACATTATGGTTCTACTACCTGATTTTTTGATATGCTGACTCAAGAACTTAGCCAATATTTTTTGCCTTGTTTCTAAAAGAATATTTTGCACAAGTTCCAACAGATTTCCAGATTAACTTTGAAACACAGCTGCGTCGTAAACTAGAAACTCTGTGTTCACCAACTCCAAACTGTACAAAGAACATGAGGCAAATATTTGACCCAATATTCAAAACGAGAAAACATTCCATTGGTGAGTCTGTGCCTCTGTGAGGTGGCCTCCTACCTGCATGAGCACCGTGACTGGGAAATGAAGCAGGAAACAGAATCTGTCAAGGACACTTTGAAGCAGTCTTGGAAGTGCGACATAGCTGTCATTAACTGGGAGGCGACTCAAGCTGACGGGCAGTGCTGGTGCCCAGCAATCACCCATAGGGTGGCTCAGTTCCCACAACAGCATCTCGCCAATTGTGCAGCAAGAATGAAGAGCCACGAGTTACTGGGAGTGGCAACAGCCCTTAACGAAACAGCTGACAATACCCAAATCAGCGTGAGGGGTGGCAGGTCACGGGCAATCTTCTAAGAAACCATTCCTTACCTAGGAAGAAATAACATCAGCCACTCACCGGTTTTTCTGTGTAGGAGACGACTTTATGCACTATGTTTTTTTTATATAAAAAAGGATAATTTAAGATCCATTGCCCCTTTCCTAGCTATGCAACTTATAAATTACAGTGTTACAAAATGCAGCCATTTTCATTCCCAGTGGGTCTTGTTCTTTGCATGTATATTTATCCAATTGTCTGATTCACTTACGTTTGTAACTATAGGGTCTTGCTCTGGGTTTTAAAAATGAATAGCTCTAAAAAGTCAAAGCAACAATCAATTCTTTAAAACCCAGATTTGCCCTGCTTGGCGTAGTATAAGGATAGCCACATGATTATCCAAAACAGCACTGACCTAGAGAAAAAAGATCTTGGTGACTCATAGGGCAACAGAATTGTGATTTTTCTCTTTGCTTTGAGTGGTGTTCAGTCAGTCAGGGAATACCTCTTCCGGGTGATATTGATCTCTTGTGCCTTGTTCAAAAGTGAGATGATGGGGGTCTATTTTGGATGATAAGTAGATAAGGATTGTAAATTCACCTTGAGAAAAAATAAAAATAGCTCATCTGACCCTTTATTTATCTCTTACAATAAGAGAAAATTTACCTACTTTATAGCATGCAATCTTCTTTCCTGTTCAAGCATTAGGATGAGGGATAAACCTCAATCACCAATCTTTTTTTAAATTATTATTAAATCTGCCTCAGTCTGTGCTAAAAATCATTACAACAAACTTCTGAAATAAGAGGCTGTACAAGCCTTGCAACTAGAGCCCAGCTTGATATTTATAATAAAGTCCCCTGCACCATCCAAGTTCCTGAACAACTGCCATACCATCCTACTTTTCATTTGTGAATCATAAGCTAATAACATAAATTCAATCTAACATTTACAGCCTGCATAGAAAGAATGCCTACAAGTCTGGGCTGCAATAAAACAAAAATCTTAGTAAGCGATATGTATTTGGTCATCGCATGGCCTCTCAGAGTAGCCAGCTAGCTGGGTGACTTGCTTGCTTGTGGTTGCACACGTTTATTGAACACCTGTCATGTGCTAAGCACTTGCCAGAGTCTTGGAATTGTCTTAAAACAGAACAGACATGGTGTCTCCCCTCTTACAGGTGATTTATGGGTGATAAGAGAGAAGCCCTCAGGCATTTGGGGTGTTGTCTGGCATACACTTTGATAAAGTACAATCGGAATGTTCTAGAAGCACAAGGAAATAGCACCACTCACTACGTGTTGGTCAAGGAAGGCCTCTAGAGCCTAATGTCTCATGGGAACTAGAACCATTTGACCAGATTTCACATGACTGAAACTCAACAGGAAGAATAACTATTCCCTGAGCTTATGGCTCTAAAAACAAATCCTAGGGGGAAAAAAAATAGGGCAAAGATTACAGGGAGACCCCTCTGCCCTTATTTTCTAAGTTTTTATGAATATAAAATTATTGCAAAATAAAAATTTAAAAAACAGAAAGTAACAGAAAAAGATAATACGTAAGGAATACCCATGAAACAGCCTGCTGTCTAGGCCTGACTTCATGGCTGTGTGACATACACAATCCCATGGGGCCTTGCTTAGAAGGTTCGGCAGTTGGTTTAATGCTCCGCTGCCACCATCCTGAAATTCTTGAGACTTTTAACAAGGGAGCCCACATATGCATTTTTCACCAGACCCCACAAATTATATAGCTGGAACTGCTATTTTCATTAAGTTTCTGGTTGTTTATTTACTTATTTATTTTTGAAGAAATGGATATTTAATTAGGAGGGTTTCTTAGCAGGAGGCTTGGGGTGTGGGAGAGGGGATGAAGGAAGAGCTCACAAGAGGATGAGACTAGGTACCTAAAGCACATTTATTTATTTATTTTTTTATCTACTTCAGTTGTGCTAACTCTTTTAATATAGAAATAATTCAGAAGAGTCTAGAAAAAACTATATTACTTCTCATAAAGATTACCTGTGACTTGCTTTTGTAATATATATTTTACCTTTATGACAGCATAAAATGTTATATGATAATTGGATTATTAGTAAGACAGAAATAACTAGATTCTATTTTCCTGATCATGGTTACATTGCCTCTTTTGCATATTTTGTGTATTGTTTCTTCTTAGAGATGGAAGTGATTTTGTATGAGGGGGAGGGACATAAGGAATGGAAGAGAATGATGGGAAAAGACAGGGGACAAGGGAGAAGAGGAGGAAAAGACAGAGACAGGGAGGGAGATGAAGAGGGAGATGAGATCATTAGGACAGCTTCTCAGCAAGGGTGACATTCGAGCAGAGATCTGAGTAAAAGCAAATTCTAAGTCGCTGAGAATAGAGCAGCAGAGGATCCAGCCTGCCTAGCCACAGGGAACATGTGGGAGGATGGTGGGGATAAGATCAGAGAGGTGTCACAAGAGACCTGAGGGACTATGGCTTTGTTCACTTTGCATGTTGAGACATGAGGTTGTAGGTATGTATTTCTAAGTTATCAGCTCTAGTAAACTGACATGCCTGCACCCTAGAACTAGCAGGTCTTAAACCCTGGAGCCATTAAATATTAGTTTCTAAGAAAAAAGTGATTCTGCAGGTGTGAATAAATTATGGATCTTGAGATGAAGAGATTCTCTGGAATTATTTTGTGGGACACTGAAGTCCATCACCAGTGTCCTTATAAGAGGCAGAGAAAGGTTCTCACTCACAGAATTGGAGAAGACAATGTGACCCCAGAGGCAGAGCCTTCAGTGATGCAGCCACAAGCCAAGAAATGGGGGCAACCCCAGAAGTTGAATGAAAAAATGAACATATTCTTCCCTAGTGCCTCCTTAGAAAGGGCAGCCCTACTGACACCTTGATTTCAGTCCAAGGACACTGACTTTTGACTTCTGGGCTCCAGAACTATAAGGGAATACATTTCTATTGCTTTAAGTCACCAAGTTTGTGGCAATTTGTGACAGCAGCATATAAAACCAATGCATTAGACCATGGATGATATTTAAGGACATGTGCTAGATAAGGTCACCAAGGGATTAAATGGAGGTGGAGGAGGGAAGGTGTGGGGAGGAGACCTCTGGCCCTCCAACACTTAGGAAATGGGAAAGGAAGAACTGAGCTGTCCACAAATGACATCTGTGTGCGCAGCACTGTATGTGTAGAATGGGAAAATGGTAAAATAGAACGGATCTGCCAAAACAGAGGTGACCACCAAATCCTAGCTTTTCTAGGAATTTGCAAAGTTCTTAGGTAATACATAGACCTTTCCCATAACTTATGAAAGATAACACTATCAATCTCTTGTATATGTGCTGTAATCAATATCATGTATATCCTCAAGGGTAGGTCATTCTAGCTGACACAAATGTGGTAATTACTTTATTTGTTTTTGTAACGTATGTACATGGATGTGTACATATATTAAATGAAAAAATCATTCATATCAAATTTTTAAAAAAGCGTAAGTAAAATGATTCATTAAATTTTGATGCTATGTCAAGAATTAATCAGAGCCTATAGAATATGTTTTAAAAATACTGGGTTTTAGTCACAGCTTAAAATGGGAATTAGTATGATGTCATGGATCTGATAGCTTGTGCCTGTCATAGTCTGATTTATGGTTGAGCAGGCAGTAATCTCTGACAAATTTAATCTTCACTGCAAAAATATGAGTCTTTTGCCTGAGTCAGTGGAGACTTCCTTAAACTTGGATGATGCATTATGTCATTTTCATTAATTTGGGTTAATATTTTCTTTGTGCAAAGCAAAATTAAATGATGAAATATGCAGTCCTTATGTGAAAGAATGTGCTCAGAAGCAAAAATACCATTAATAAAAATGGAATGCGTAGAAAGCTCTTAAAGAATAGTCATATTACTTCAACTGAAGTGAGGGGGAATAGGGTGATTGGGGTATTGGGTGTGTCCATATGAGCAAAAGCAAATTTCTTCTTTAAGGTAATCAGTCACTTATGAAGTAGGAAATCCACACAGATTCATGGTAACAAAATAATATAATCAAAACAGACTCCATGGGGGAATAGCCCGCTGGATCTGTGTAGCAATTTCAAGTTACTATTATTATTTTGCTTATTTTTTTTTACCATCCCCACTTCTCTTCTTCTATTTCTTTCTCCAAGAAGATCCTGTTAGCACAGACAAATGAGGCAAGTCAATAACATCCACCCAAATAGACAGGATATATTGAGCCAATTCAAAGGTGGGTGAACAGCAGCTGTGGTCTTGCCTGTGAAATTAGCTCAGAGGTGGCTTCTGCACAGTGAAGCATCAGAGCTCTTTCATTTCTACTTTCCTGTAAACACTGAAAAAATGTGGATTTAGATAAAAACCTATTTGCTGAGAGTTTAGCATCTAAGTCTATGTATGTATGTATGTATGTATGTGTGTGTGTGTGTGT